TGTTGTAGAGGAAATGTTGCTGGTGACTGCTTGACAGGATCTTACGCGAACCAGTGGACACCACGCAGATGGTGGCTCCTGGCCGCATGTAGCATGCCTTCTAAATGTTTCATGATTGCGATCTACTTCCAACCTCAGCAGTACGCTTCGGGCGATTACTTCTCGAAATAGAACAGAAGGAAATATTGCAATACTCTACTGCCTCTCATGGCCTATTGTAGAGCTGAGGAACGCCGGTGTTTATGGGCCATGACTGCATAACTCCTATATTTATGAGAAGAGAAGCAGTTGTAACGGGAGGAGGGGGGGGGGGGGGGGGGGGGAGGAGCAACGTTCAACCCACCGAAGGCAGCATCCATCCTTTTAAATTTTAACGACCATATCGACGTGGTTTACATCAAAACCCAGCCGTCAGTTGCGGTGTGACCTCCTGCCGTTCCGAGCGGCGCAGCGGGTGTCCTGTGAGGGACTGCAAGTGGCCGGCAAGGCGTCAAAGCAGCTACTGACGCTGTCCGCCGCCCTCTGGCAGGGTGGCGTCGCCTCCTGCCTGGCCTTCATCGACTTCTTCTCGGTGGCGGCGCAGCGGTCGGCGCTATCCGTGACAGCCAACTGCTGCCTCTCGCTGACGCCGGCCGAGTTCCACCGCATCAGCGACCACCTGGCACCGCTGGCCAGGCGGCTCGCTCACGAGGTGGGAGGCGCCGGCGCCGCCGAGGCGGCAGCCGGCCGGCGGGCGGCCGCTGTGCCAGTCACAGTCAGGGCGCAGGTCATGGCAGACTCGGCCGCTGTGCCAGTCACAGTCAGCGTCGCGGATCGTGGCGGAGTCGGCCGACCTGAGCTCCAGCTCGGCTGCAGGGTCTCCTGCCTGGTGGCATGTGTAAAATCTTCGCAAGTGGTCCTGGGGATGCACAGAATATTGCAAACGTCAACCTATGGCAACTGGTAAAGGAATACTGTGATATCATGTTTCTTAATTATCACTGTTATGCCGCTGTTATACAATGCAGTTACAATACACGTTTAAGGAGGATACAACGGGTCCTCGGTCTGACTGTTATTCACGTGAACATCAGCTGTGCGCCCATGTTGAGCGGTACCCGCAGGTTCAGCTCGTTTCAGGACCAGAAAGTTGCTGAGGCCGCCTGCCTGGTGTTCTGTCGGCTCGCCGAGACCTTCAAGACGGACCCGCTCAAAGTACAGGCGATCGCCGACAGCGGAGCGCTCATCAACGTCCAGCAGCTGGTGAGCAGTAAACAGCCATCATTGGTAGCCAAAGGGTGCCTTTGCAACAGGTCTCAAGCTTGTTGAGAGCTCTGCAAGCTTTGTAGCAAGCTTTGTCAGTTCTATCCTTGTTACGAAGTGTTTTGGATTATAAAATGCAAGGGCTCATGCAGGACAGAGCTTAACCAACAGTGATGTCATTTAACACATACGTGTGTGTGCACATAGTCATGGAGTGTTTGCTACAATTCAATTCCTTGGTCACCGGTGATCGTCGCAGTTACTCCACGACGGCATACCAGGCTCAGTTTGCGCTCAGGACTACCACTATTTTAGACAGACTCGCACCATCATCTTGGGGATGTCTCAGCAGCGCGCTACCCGCTGTGATGACGCGCCGCGACCGTGACCGTGCTGGTCGTGGTGATGGTGATGATGACCGTGACCATGCTGGTCGCGATGATGGTGATGGACCGTGACCGTGCTGGTCGTGATGATGGTGATGATGACCGTGACCGTGCTGGTCGTGATGGTGGTGATGATGACCGTGACCATGCTGGTCGCGATGCTGGTGATGATGACCGTGACCGTGCTGGTCGTGATGATGGTGATGATGACCGTGACGCGTTCGGCAGCTGGTGGCGTCCCCGGCCGTGATCGGCAGCTCCACCTTCTGCGAGGTGGCGCGCATGCTGCGCATGCTCTGCAGCCACTGCCCGGACATCGCCGTCCGCCTGCTCTCCGAGAACATGGCCGAGACGCTGCGTACGCTCCTATCCGGAGACACGGAGCAGGTGTGTACCCGGCTGGCGGCAGGTACAGAACAGGGCTGTACTTGTTAACGAGAGACACAGAAGTGGCGTGCATCCTGCTGATTGGATTAAGGAACAAGTGTGTAGCAGGCTCTCAGACTGAAGGGAGATAAGCAACAGGTATGTACCAGGTGACGGTAACTACGAGTCAGATGAGCAAGCTGGTGACGGGAGAAACGGAACAGGTGTATGCCCTGCCAATGGAAGACACGGAAACGGTGTGTGCCTGGTTGGCCTCAAATGTGTATTGTCATATGTAACCACCAAAGTGGCAAACTCATACCCTTACTAGCCTCTCTTCCGCTGTATGAAACCGTGTGGTTTTTGCTACCATCTGTCTGCGGGGATCGTGCTAGCATCAGTGACGTCATGGTCGGGATCGTGACCATGTATGGTGTGCTGTCTGGTGGGTACGCCGGCTCCTAGCCGGGAGGCCTGACTGACCGCCTCCGCCGCGGCGGTGCGCCTCACAGATGGCGCAGCAGTCGCGGAACTCGGAGGAGGTGTACGCGCTGGTCTGCCTGCTGGCTGAGATGCTGCCGGCGCTGCCGGCGGCTGGACTGTTCGACGTCGATCAGTGGCTCAGCAGGGTTCCGCCGCGACCGACCAGCTCTCACGACCGGGTACGGCCACTGAGAACAGGCGGGCACGGCCGCTGAGAACAGGGCCGGTACGGCTGCTGAGAACAGGCGGATGCGGCAGCTGAGGACAAGCGGGTACGGCTGCTGAGACCAGGCCGGGTACGGCCGCTGAGAACAGGGTCGGTACGGCTATTGAAAACAGGCGGGTACGGCCGCTGAGACCAGGGCGGGTACGACCGCTGAGACCAGGGCGGGTTCGGCTGATAAGACCAGGGCGGGTACGGCTGCTGAGAACAGGCGGGTTCGGCTGCTGAGAACAGGCGGGTAAGGCCGCTGAGGACAGGTAGGTAAGGCCGCGGAGGACAAGCGGGTTAGGCCGCTGAGAACAGGCCACTACGGCCTCTGAGAACAGGCGGACAAGACCGTCTAGACCAGGCAGGTATGGTTGTTGAGAACAGGCAGATACGGTTGTTAAGATCGGGCGGTTAAGCCCATTGAGAATAGGCGGGTGAGGCCACTGAGAACAGTCCGGTTAGGCCGTTGCAAACCTGCGGGTACGTCTGCTGAGAACAGGTGGGCACGTCTGCCGAGAACAGGCCGATGCGACACGCTACCCACCCTCAGCTGGGCTCTGTAGGCCTTTGGTATGCGGCCGGTATCATGTACCTTCGTAATTTCCACTATCTCTTAAGCCTTCCGAAACACTGCAGCTGAGAGAACTTTTCTGTATCTGCAAAGTGCATTACGCGTTTCGCACGCGTGTCCAAGAATGTCCCTGATATGGCTGCGATGTTCTTCACAGGACAGCGTTGTATGGCAGTGGCAGGACGATGAGGGAAGTTGGCACAACTTCTCGGAGGCAGACAGTGCTGCGATACAGGTGACACATCCGGTGCATGTGCGCTTTGGTTTCGCCGAAGTTTGCTTTAGGATGCATGCATAACGGTTCCCAAACATAGTGGTGTCGAAAAGGACGCTTTGAGATGAAAGGTGATAGATTAGACCCCACCAGCAGCCAAAATCTCGCGGGATGTCATAACTGTCAAGCATGCTGTGCCTTACCGTTGCCCGTTCACTTCAAAAACCATGCACTGCACTGCCGCCGAATTGTGTTATTGCAGTTACGCTAAGTCATTACCCCTCCGTAAGCAAGTTTGTGCGTTGCAAACCGCTCCGATTATTTTTAGGACTGATATGGTGATTACTGCAACCTTGTTTGTCCATGAGTGTACACTCTCGATACTCACTCCTATCGCCCATCGTGAAAGGTCGTTAAGACCACTGCTCGCGCAGCGTCGGGTCACCCCCATGTGATGCTTCCTTCCTCCTAGATGTCTCCCGGCCGACGCGCGTCCTCCTCTCCTGGCTGACGTGTCCCTCACCGACTGAGTTGTCCTCCCCCGGCTAACGTGTCCCTCCCCAGCTATTTATCCGTGACTGACGTCTCCCTCCCGACTGACATGTCTTTCCCCGGCTGACGTGTCCCTCCCCAGCTGATGTGTCCCTCCTCGACTGACGTGTCCCTTCTCGACTGACATGTCCCTTTCCGGCTGACGTGTCCCTCCCCCAACTGCCCCCCCTAACTATGGTATCCCTCCGGACTGGCGTGTCCCTCCCGGCTGGAGTATCCCTCCCTGACTAACGTGTCCCTCCCAAGCTTGCCCCCCCCCCCCCCCCCTCAACTATACGTGTCCCTCCTCAGCTCTCCCTGTCTAACTAACGTTGTCTCTCTCCCGCCTTACGTGTCCCTCCCCGGCTAACGCCTCCTTCCCACCTGACCCGCCCTCCCCGGCAGGCGGCGGCCCGCTCAGACGGCAGTCGGGACCCGTCGCGGCCCGAGCTGGCCAACCTGCCATCGCGCTCTCGGGCGGTGCGCCGCGCCGACCCGCGCCTCGCCACGCTGCGCGCCGACTGGCTGCCGCTGCTGCTGCGCGTGTACGGCGCCGGCGCCGGCCCTGGCGTGCGCCACGCCTGTCTGCGCGCCCTGCTGCGGCTCGTGTGCTCGGCCAGCGCCGACGGCCTCAAGGTGAGGGGAGGGGGGGCAGGTGCTGTGGTTGGCCATGAGGGCGGCCCTGGCGGGCGCTGTTGCTGTTCACGCGGGTCATGCCGGCGTGGTGGCCTTACGGTTAGAACACTGCACTCGTGAACTTCTGAAGACGGTCGTCGGGAGTTCGATTGTCGTCGACTCGTCAGGCTGAAAACGTCTATGAAGTGTTTGTTTTCATGCTTTTTATGAAACCACTATCATGTTTATTTAATTAAGTTCCCAATACCACAGACATAGGAGACAACATCGTAGAATGTTATAGCCTTCAAAAGCGTCCATGGTATGTCGAACAAGGATGTGTACCGAGATCCAAGACATCGCTGATAGTTTTGAAGCGAGATTTAGTCGACCACGAAAGTATTGCTTAGCCCCACGACCAGTCGCATTGCGGGAGCTCATACGCGGTGGATATAATTACCTGAGTGTAGCACATTGGGAGCAACCAGAAACCGACCGCCGTAACGCAGCCGCCTGTTATTTTGCCATTTCTGTTGAGTCGTATGGGACATGTTTTCCATGCAACCTTTCAATTCAAGCTGAGATGACATGTGTCCTTTGCACGTTCGCTGTGGGGTGGAGATTCACCCGCAGACTCTGATTCCTTTCGTAGACTAGTGACCTCTGGCGGCCTGCACGGGTTGGGCAAGTCCATGGGCAATCATATGGACTGGATAACCGGCTGGTTGGAAAAATATGCAGTATGTGTACGGTTGTGGGTAAGACAATCACAAAATGTCGGATAGGTGCTTCAAAAAATACATGGCATGTTACTGTCAGCACTTGTTTTTCCATACTCAGCCCGATTCACACTGATACTCCTTTTGCAATGATCTACGCGAAAGAGAATGCTGGGTGTAGAGTGTCGTGGAACTCGCCCATACTCCACTTAAAATGTACTAAAAAAGATGTAAATGAGTGGTTAACGCGCGGACAAAACTGATAAGCAGCAGGTAGCGGGTGGATACGGACACAGCTCTGTGGGAAGTGGGTAGGTTAAGTCAGGGAAATTATGACCACGTGGACCTCTAGTGGCCCCGTGGCCTCCGATTCGTCCTGCAAAGCCTCCACCTCCGCAGTGCTCCCGCCCCGGCTAACTGACCCAGTTGGTAAGCCCGCCGGCAGTTTTTGCCGGCCGCACATTGGCGGAAGTAGGTCAAACTGAGGCGGCCGCGGCCTCTTTTGTAGCAGACGGTCCCGTTGTCGTGTCGGACGCGATTATGGATCGGCGAGGGCGTTCGATCGTGGCTGGGCGATCCACCCCACGCCACCACTGCCTGTCCGCTCGGCCGCAATCAACATTCTGACATGTGTGACATACTACGCTGAGCGTGTACTTGTGTTTGTTACGAGAAAGAACTTGAATGCACTCTTTTCCCAAACACGGCATTTTGATGGCGCTGCTTTGTTCGGTTTTGAGGCATGCATGTTGGATGCGTGTGGTTTTGTGCGGGAAAAGCAGTCAGCTGATTTTCCAAGCTGATAGTGTTTTGAACCGTTCAGTGTGTTATGCTAAATGTGGGCGCGAAGAAGGCGATGCAGTGTCATTCCCTTGATGCGAACCAAAACAAAACCTCTTTGTTTCTCTCGGAACACCCTGGGTCTCCAGATTACTTCGTAAAGCTTCGGCGCTGGGCTGACCACATCTGTCCTTATTCCATAGGAAATAATCGAGATGCAGGAGATGTCGGTGCACCTGGCCGGCTTGCTGTCCTCGACGGATGTGAAGATGGTGGTGGCCGGAGTCCAACTGTCAGAGACCCTGATGCAGAAGCTGCCAGACCTGTGCAGGGTGCACTACAAAAGAGAGGGTAGGTGCTTCTCATCCGTGATGCCTCCTGCCGCTGGCCACATAGCTCGCATTCGCCGCCCAGGATGGTTCCTGTGTTGGCTTTATTGCATGAGAGGGGCTGGATTCAGGCTTGGGCATTACATTTACGCCGACATTCTGTCTTATGCGGCGGTAACCATTTGTTGTTCTAGTTTTCCTCGGCTGCACCCATCATCGCGCGAAGGGTTGCCGTGAGTATTCTGCGTGGCTCATCATCCCCAGGTTCGAGTAGTGACGATTCCCCTAACCCCGCAGGGGTGGTGCACCACATGACGTGTCTGGCGGCCGGGGACGACCCTCTGGAGGGAGTCGGCAGCAGGACCGCACGCCCGGCCCAGGTTGGCGAGACGTCCACCGACATGTGAGTGGCGCCACCTCCGCGGGCCGAAACCCCGCGGCCCCGGGGCTCGGGGCGATTTAGCCGTCCCAGCAGGTGCTGCAAAATTGTCTTGCCCTTAGAGGACAGAAATAAACACTGCACACAAAAGGCAGCCAATCATAAGCCAACCGGTCATAAGCCAATGGGGCAGATTTCGCTCAGCTGGTCGATATTGGCACGCTACCCTCCGTTTGGCTTCTGGTCGCCAGTGCAGGTGTGACTTCATGCCATAAGTGTCTGTTTGCGAGTCCCGGCCCGCCCCCGCTGCGTCTGACGGGGAGCGTGCGGTTGGCAGGAGTCTGCGGGACGTACTGAAGCGGAGGAGGTCCTCTCGCCGCGGCAGTCTCGCCGCTCAGAGGAACAGCCGCGAGAGGCTTCATTTGCCGGAGACGCCCACTCAGGGACAGATGCCGACCAGACAGGTTAGCTTAATACCGTCTGGTGTTGGTCACTTCGCGCCGGCTCTTGTACCAGTTCACCGGTGGAAGTAACCACCAAGCTTTGTTTCGCCCGTAACCATTGATATGACCTGAATGCTGGTGCAGCTTCGTCAAGATGTGGTGTTAACGTGTTTTGTGTTTTGATGTAGCTTTTGGATGGCTCGCACTATCTCTGCCTCTTTAGTATGGCTGGCCTTTTTGTCCCATGATGGGAACTATGTTCATGATGCCGCATATACCACAGTGCAGTGTCTCTGAGCTCCTGCCTTCACTGGGGCCGAGCCCAAGGGTTCTCAGTCAGGGGTTTCATCCATTCAGTCTGATCCGTCTTCAGTCCGGGTTCAGTCTGATCCGTCTTCAGTCCGGGTTCAGTCTGATCCGTCTTCAGTCCGGGTTCAGTCTGATCCGTCCTCTGTGGTCGGCACACGCTGCCTGTAACGGTAATTTCGCCATCGAGCATCAAAAGAGATCAACGGAGCGAGCGGCCTTGTGTGTGGGCTGCGTCACCGCTGGCCGTGTTCCAGGCGGCGCCGGCTGCGGCCGCGCTCCCGTCGGCGGCGGTCGCAGCAAGTCTCTGGGCGGCTGCGGCGGAGGAGGCGGCCGATTCCAGGCCTCCCTGCTGGCCAGCCTCAGCCCGTCACGCTGGGGCCGAGCCAGCTCCAGCTCACCTCACGGACACAGGGGCTCGCTCAAGGTGATCCCATTGTCTTAAACGCTGTCCCTTCACGCTGGGGCAGGTCACCTCACGGACACAGAGGCTCGCTCAAGGTGATCCCATTGTCTTAAACGCCGTCCCTCTCCCCTCTTGTTTGCCCCTGTCACGATTTTGTTTTGTTTTTGCTGGGTCTTAGGGTCGAGTTAGAAAATGGCGTCTTACTGCGAAAACGGTCGGTCGCACGCCGGATAAGCGCCTATGCCTACGCATGCAGTCACATACACATTGTATACGGCAGATACTTACATTTATCGGCGCCCGCGGATAGCCTTGACCATCTCTTCTCTGCCACGATGCCCGCCTTAATACAACTGATTACAGCGCGTTTATCCCCGTTTCTCCGGGTTCAAGGTACAGAGCACTGTTGCTGGAACCGACTCTACTGCGACACCCTGTTCGGTTTAATTATCGCGTCAAACTATCAACAATGCTTACGCCGTTTAAATAAAGTTTTCAACGCCCGGACCAGGGATCTGGGAAAAATACACCGATCTCTTGTACACACGGGACCATTCATTCCCCGAACTACAACCGGTTGTACAATACTCAATGCCCACAAATGCAGTAGTTACTTTATAATATCCCCTTGCGAGCCTTATACATTACCATGTCATGACAATGACCACCAGCACCGCGGGGTAGCAAAATGTTTTCAACCAGCCATGTCACTCTAAAACCGTCCCCGGCCTGACTGGCCCTGGGCCTGTTTTCAGGAGGGCCGGTCAGGCGACACCAGCGCCTCCGCCGCCCGCCAGGAGCGCGTGCGCGCCTGGCTGCGGCAGCGGGCGCGCCTCTTCCTGGAGCGCCACCTGGCCGACGACGCCGGCGGCCGCTCGACGGCGCTGGCGCTGCTGGAGAGCGCGCTGCGCCAGCTGGCGGCGCCCGACGGCCGCTGCGCGCCGGCGCTGCGCGAGCTCGCCGCCCTGCTGCTGGCCGCCGACCTCTCGCCGTTCGAGCTGCTGCACGGCGGCCTGGTGCGTCGGCTGACCGGTCTGCTGACAGCCGGCGCCGGTGCCGACCGCCGCCGCCGGCTGCGCGCCTTCCTGCATGCGCTGGCCGGTTGTCCGCCAGTCGAGACGCCGGCCGAGCGCTGGCTGCCGGCGGCCGACGCCGCGGCGCCGCTGGCCGCGCTTGTTGCCAAGCTGAACGCCTGCCTCGCCCAGCAGGAGCAGCTGTCCGTCAAGACGTATGACGTCACTGGAGGACTGTCCGGCCGCTGTGCGCTCCGCTACTTTAACGAACACCAGCTGAAGGTGATGACCACTGACGTCACGCAGATGGCACGGTGATGATTTGCACCTCCAGTCGTATGTGATTTCCTGTTTCCCACGGAGCTGACTACCGTGTGGATTGCTTGTCCAATCACGTCGTCCCGATATATGCATTTTCCAAATAATGTGCCAGAACCGCTGTCACGTGATCGGTGGAATTTTCCTGGAATAGCCATGCCAGAATACGTACTGCTGCCACCCTACGCTAGCTCACCACCAGCGTAGTGGCTGAAGTCGGCTCGGTCTGTGAGATGTGTACGACTCCGCCTGCGGGCCCAGCGGCGTGGCCCTGCCGTCACTCACCGCGCCCCTCCCCAGTGTAACCTGCAGCGGGTAACGGACGGCGGCAGCCTGCGCCAGTGGCGGCACGGCCCGGTCAAAGTGGACCCGCTGGCGCCGGTGGAGGCGATCGAGCGCTACCTGGTGATCCGCGGCTACGGCCGGCCGCAGCCCGGCCGCTGGTCCGACGACAGCGACTCCGACGACGACGTCGACGACGCTCTGGTGCGGCCCACCCCTGCCGGCGGCGGCGTGACGTTCGCGGTGACTGTGCCGACGAGTGTCGGACTAAGCTTAGATGAGCGGCGTCGGCCGCGCGGGCCGCCACCTGGCGGTGGCGGTGTGTAACTAGGGTCGGCAGTGTTGGAGGTCTTTCTTGTCAGCTGAGTTGCCGCCCTTCTCTCTATGTATTATTGATTAAAGTTTGTGCCCTCCTGTCTGCTGTTCCCACGATGTTCTCGTCTCCAGCAGTGGACTGAGATGACGTTGTGTGGCTGCCAGGCGCGCGTTTTACCTGGTGACACCATCAGCTGGTCACTGAGTGCACTGCCGCCAGCTGGGGTACGGGCGGCTCGTCTCTGAGCGTGCACTGCCGCGAGCTGAGGTACGAGTAGCCAGTCCACTGACGTTGTCCACCTCTCTGCCGTTAGACGGCGGCTAGCCTGGGCTTGGGCGGCGTTCACCGGCTCCAGTTCCTCATCGGCGGCCGGCCGCTGCCGTACGACATGACCGTCTTCCAAGCGGTGGAGCAGTTCGGCCAGCACGCGACGCAGGCCGGCCCCGAGCAGACAGTCAGCGCCACCGAGCTGTTCGAGACGACACACACCATCCACTACAGGTGCGCTGCGCTGGCGGGGGCGTGAAGTCTCATGGTAGGCAGTGACCTGTTGACCTCTTCGAGGCCATTGGCCCTTGAAGATGTAAATGATCATTTAGTGTCGTCGCTCGTGGATGCGTGCTGTTCGAGCTGTCAACACGCGTACACTGGTCATAACCGAGAGATGTGCTCCCACATTGCATACGCTTGAGGCTCGGATTAAAAAGCGCCCCGGACGCTTGGATCAAAGTCGAAATGTCAGTGTATGCTTTCGACGACGCGTCTTTAATCGTGATTTTGCCCCACCCTTTGAGACCATGCGCCGCCGCACGACCACCGCTGCTCACTCGCCACGTGACCCGTGCCCAGGCTAGCTCCAATAACGAGCAGCAGCGCCGGCGGCCGCTGCGAGGCTCGGGACAGACAGACGGGCGGCGGCAGCGGCGGCGAGCGCCGGAGCGCGGACGCGCTGTGGTCGGCCGCGGCCGTCCCCGCGCCCTCCTGCCCCCTCCTGCCGTACCTCACCGCACGTCTGCCGTCGACCGTCACCGTCGACGACCCGTGCCTGGAGACGCTGCAGCTGCTGCGGCTGCTGCACGCCCTCTCGCGACACTACGGCACCCTCTACCACATGGAGCACTGTCCGCCGCTGCTCTCGGAGCAGGTAACGCCCGCCGAGTTCTGTCTGTGTGTTGGCGCCCAGGTTGCTGCTGGTGCTGGAGCAGTTTTGTTAGGCTTCAACGGCCACTGAGAATCGCATATGCATGCGCTGTTGTTTTTATGTAACTATCGTTATATTTCGCTGAGTGCCTGAAACATGAGGCATTCGTGTCATGCTAGCCCTCCCCGCCCATTGACGTGGTGTGCTGGATCTTTTCAGGAGTTTATCAACAGTCAGCTGACGGCCAAGGCCAGCCGTCAGCTGCGGGATCCTCTGATCCTCATGACCGGCAGCACGCCGCAGTGGATCCAGCAGATCGGGCTCACATGGTAACATATCCCCAGAATAGGACAGGCGCTCGAACACAGCCGCGACAAGGGCGTCGCGCGAGCCGTTTGGGCGGCCAGCTGCTGGCAGCCTGGCCGCGCCTATTAGTTGATGAGCCGATGGAGTACAGGCCGCGCGGAAAATTTTGTAGTAGTCGCTAATGCAGACACATTACGCACATACATTTTGTTCCTGTAGCAAGGCGTCTGCGAGACCAGATTGCTGTGAAAACTGAAATGAATAGTAATATTTCAGACATCACGGTCCTTCCGTAAATGCGATTTCATTTTGAAATACAGCTTTACGAGGCCATGTTTATGTGTACCTGAGTGGATCTTTTAATGAGCCGAACGTACGTAATGACGCAAGAAATCAGCTGTGGTTTGCAGGTACTCAGCACTCGGGAAACATTCGTAGTTTCGTCGACAATGTCATGAAGCCAATAACTTACTTAAAGATCCGACAAAATGAGCCCAGCGCTGCTTCCGTCATGCGGACTGCCCGCTGGACGTTCTGACGCTCCTGCACCGGGTAACGTGCCGTGCGGTCGTGGCGCGCCCTGTGACGTGCCGTGCGGTCGTGGCGCGCCCTGTGACGTGCCGTGCGGTCGTGGCGCGCCCTGGCCCGGTCCCCAGGGAAGTGACCTCCCCTTGCGTGGCGCCGGAGTCGCTAACCCTGGCCTCCCGCGCAGCCCGTTCGTGTTCCCGTTCGAAACGCGCCGGCTGCTGTTCTTCACGGTGGCGCTGGACCGGGACCGGGCGCTGCTGCGTCTGCTGGAGGCGGCGCCGGCGGCGCGCGGTGCTGACGCCGCCGAGCGTCGCCTGGCGCCGCGGCTGGAGCGGCGCCGGCGCACCGTTAGCCGCGCCCAGCCGGCGCGCCAGGCCGAGACGCTGCTGGCAGAGCTGGCCGATTCGCGTGCCCTGCTCGAGCTACAGTACCAGGGCGAGCCCGGCTCTGGGCTCGGCCCCACCCTCGAGTTCTACTCGCAGGTCTGCGCCGACGTGCAGGTGAGGGGGCGACGCCCGCCGCTGGTGCCCGCCGCTGGCGCACGTCGCTGGAGCACACCACTGGTGTCCGCCGCTGGTGCCCGCTGCTGGTGTCCGCCGCTGGTGCCCGCTGCTGGTGTCCACTGCTGGCGCCCGTCGCTAGTGCCCGCTGCTAGCGACCGCCGGTGGTGCCTGCCGCTGGTGCACGCCGCTGGTGCACGCCGTTGGTGCACGCCGCTGGTGCACGCCGCCGTTGCCATCCGCTGGTGCCCGCCGCTGGTGCCCGCCGCTGGTGCCCGCCGCTGGTGCTCGCTGCTGGTGCACGCCGCTGGCGACCGCTGATTCGCTGTTGGTGTGAAGAATGTACATATTTGCTGACTTCATAGTTCATACTCATGGGCGCAGCTAGAACTTGCGATGGAAGGAGCTACCATGATTCCCGATGGGGTGGGGTGGGGTGGGGGGAGGGGGTGGGCGGGGCACTAATTTTTTAAGAGTGAGTCCCAACCCCATTGGTAGTACCTTTACATGGCAAACAGACTAACAGACCGTACAATGCTGAAAGGCACAGTAAATATCGTACCAATGGGCTATCGATATTGATTTGCCCTGGCGCCTCAAACCATTGTTTCAGCTTCGTGCCGTGCAAATTCACTCTGCTATTCACTGATGTTGTTACCAAATTATGGCTGTTGGACTCAACATGTCGCTGTCCATGGTACAGTATATGATGTTTTGTACCAAAAATAGTATTCATGGTGATCAAATACCAGAATTGTATTCAGATGTATCGTGGTGAAAACCTGCGCTTTAACTTGGCAAGGGGGGGGGGGGAAGCCCCTTGAGTCCCTTCCTCTGGCTGCCTCACTGCTCATGCTTCCCGTTATGTTGTGGAGCAATAAGCTTATTGCTGATTGTATTGTCTTATAGTCCTAGTTGCAGCTGCTCACAAAATGGTGCTGGCACATCTTTTATAATATCTAATAGCACGATTTTGCTTGAAACCTACCGGCCTTTATGCGTTTAACATCTATTGTACTGATAAAGGTTTTAGCAATGATATCCTACCTTAGAAGCGGACAGTTACCCGCCACCGTCGCCTGACACGAGCCTCTTGGTCGCAGAGGACGGACATGGGCCTGTGGCGCGGCGGCTCGTGGCGGCCGGCGGCCGAGGCGGCCGACGGCGGCGCGAGCCCCGCCGCCAGCCGCGGCCCGCCCGGCCCGGAGTACGTGCACGCCCCGCTCGGCCTGTACCCGACCCCGCTGGGACGCGCCGATAAGTCGGCCTGCGTCGCCCGGCTGCGCACCAAGTACAGGTTCCTCGGTACGTGCCACGGGCCGGGCTTCGGGTCGGAGCCAGCGAAGGTGGTCGAGCTGGTGCACGGCGGGCCTAAAGTGCAGCTTGTCTTTTTCATTGAACCATTCGATTGAAATTTTGCGTTTGGAAGTATGTAATCGCTACATCGAAACGAATTCAATGGGTGAAAGCTGAATTAAACGTGAAGTATGCTAGAGCTGACTTTGGTAATACAGAGTCGGAGCCGCCATCAGTTTGGCCTTATGCCAACCGTTGTACACTGTCACTAAGTGGCTGGGTTAGCCTTGAGTTATTGGCGATTGTGTTTGATAGCGCAGCCTGCTACTTAATGGCGCTAGCCCTTTATCAGGTCGTGTCGTCCTCCAGAATCATAACCACGCCCCTGAGAGCGCCGTCCCGCGTCCTGGATCTGTCCGATGACGCCCCCAGCGGTATAAGCCCGGCCACTGAAAGCCCGTTTTCTCGGTACACAGGGCGCCTGATGGCCAAGGCGCTGAACGACGGCCGTCTGCTGGACCTGCCGCTGAGCGTGCCGTTCTACCAGTGGCTGCTGCGCCAGGAGCGCTCCATGACGCTGGCCGACGTGCAGCAGCTGGACGCGTCGCTGGCGGCCACGCTGTCGCAGCTGGCGGCCGTGGTGCGCCGCCACCGCCAGCTGCAGGCGGACCCGGCGTTGAGCGGCGAGCAGCGACGCGCCGCCGTCCGGGAACTGGGCGTCGACGGCTGCTCGGTGGAGGAGCTGGGCCTGGACTTTACACTGCCCGGGTATCCGGCCATTGAGCTGAAGCGGGGTGGCAGGGGCGAGACGGTCACCATCCATAACCTGGACCAGTACCTCAAGGTGGGCCACAGCTCGGGTCAGCGTCTCAAGTTGTGTCGTAGCTGTCACGGACGCTTTTGGGAAGGTCACAGGCTGCACTGGTATCGCCTGGTACATGGTAAAGGCTGAACCATCGTCATTCTTGCTCGCATCGGGAGGCATGAATGGCGTGTAGAAAGATTACTTATAATCTTGTTCCATCGCAGATACTTCTCAGAAAGCTTCATTTCCGCAATTGCCTGTTTGTGCAAAGTTTAGCTGCCAGGGCCATTCTTTCCATGCTGAAGGAACAAACATTACTGTGCACCTTGTTGACTGCTTTCGAAGAGCGAACACACGCCTTGGTATGTTCCAGCTGCTGACACACTGGCTTCTGATTGAGAGCGTTCAAAAACAAATGGAGGCGTTCAGGGAAGGCTTTGAGTCGGTCCTCTCCCTGGATCACCTAGCTATGTTCCTGCCAGAGGAGCTAGATCAGCTCTTCTGTGGCAGTCAGGTATGCTAACGGTTGTATTTCCTTACGAAGGATCGATTTGCACAATTTTTCAAATCATGTGCACTTTTCTCCTGGATTCTTGGGGATTTGTCAGTAAAATACAGGTAGTGCATTTTTTTCACAAGAAATTCAGCCCTAGCTTCTTTCATCTTTGTTTTTGTATTTTACCCTACCCCCTTTACCTCGCTTGGTGCGCGCTTTGTCGAACAATATATCTAAATGAAAACATGCATATCCCTCCGCATGAGCCGATTGCCGGCGCCCGTTGCGTCGTTAGTGGTCGGCCGCGGGTGACTGTGCCTGACCCGACCTGACCTGACCTGACCTGATCTGATCCGATCCCGCAGGACAGCCAGTGGGACGAGCGGACCCTGCTCGAGGCCTTCCGGCCCGACCACGGCTACACGTCTGAGTCGCCGCCGTTCCTGTACCTGGTGCGCGTGCTGTCCCGCCTGGACAGCCAGCAGCGGCGCCACTTCCTCAGCTTCGCCACCGGCTCGCCGCGTCTGCCCGTCGGAGGTGAGCCAGTGAAGCCCCTCGCCTCGGCCCGTTAGCACCCGCGTCTGGGAGGAATCCCCGCCGTGTTCCGAGCGAGCGCTGACCCTCCATTAAGGGGTTAAGCCTGAAGTCGCCAGCCGGTCTGAGGTATAACTCCGTGAGTGGGATGTTGCATGTTCACACATTACTCTGATGATCGCCATCTTTCCTTTTGTAAACCCGGGTGGGATATGTCGTGAATACGCATTAGTTGGTCCAGTTGGATTCTTGAAGTAGCGATGTGATAAGCAACCACAATATCATACAAGAGTTAGCGGAAGTCGGTTTAAGCATTATGTAGCACAGGACAATTAGTACCATGCCGTCTCCGGCTGCTCGTCATTGCCGTCTATGGGGACGGAGACGATGGTTAGCGGTCCGGAAAATATACCCTGTAATATACCCTGTGCGTTCGTTTCGAGCCGGCCTACATATCCTCTTTTCTTCTCCTGCCTTTCCCATTCTACCAAACATGACCTTCACGATGCCCCTCTGCTGGCGGTGGAGAGAGCTCCGTTTGCCCGGCTGGCGAGAGCCGCTCAGTACGGTCCGGCCGCTGCCGCAGGGTTTCGCGCGCTGGCCCCGCCTCTGACCGTGGTCCGCAAGACGGTGGAGTCGGGCCGTCGGCCGGACGACTACCTCCCTTCGGTGATGACGTGCGTCAACTACCTGAAGCTGCCCGAGTACAGCAGCGCCGAGGTGACGCGCCGGCGGCTGACCACCGCCATCAATCAGGGGCGGCTGAGCTTCCTGCTCTCCTAGCGGCCGCCCGTCGAACTCGTGCTTCTCCCATTGACCGCCTGCTCCGCACCGTCTGCTCACTGCCAGCGCAACGGACTTACCTCAC